TACCCACTATGTACAAGACCCATTGCTTGGTGCTGAGACCCAAGCTGCTAGAATACTTGAAAATGTCATCATTGACTTTCATACCCAGTTATACCAAGAAATGTGTTAAGTAAACTCGAAGAAATATTTGAAGCTTTTCTCCTGGCTGGAAATAGAAATGTTGGAATGCCCTAATGAAAGGAGTCAAATTAATTTAAAAGAGATTCTGAAATAAATTTTAGGCTTACAATGTGATTCGGTCCTGAGTCTGGGGTATGCTTCTGTAAGTGGGATCCAATATGAAGCATTAGTCAGACTCAAGGCAAAAAGTTAGCATTACCTTTCTCCTGGGTATTAGAGAGGAGCTGCAGCTAATAGCTTAGTGCAGAAAGGGTCAAGGCAAGAGGAAATGTGGTTTTATAGGAAGATGTTTTATTACCTCTTAAGAAAATGTCATATATATATTTCTAGACCTCTTGGTGAAGAACCATCTGAAGTTGTGTGAGGTACAAAGGTCTTCTTGCTACCACATGCTACATTATTTTTCAGTAGGTGAAGTCACCCTTCAAACTTAATGCTGGGTTGTCAATATAGATCACACATTTATTTTAGTGAGTTCCTTTTTTAATGGTGTGGATAAATCCATCTATATTTCTTTGAAAGGAAGAGAGGAAAAGAGAAAAAAAGGCAAGATGACAAGAAAAGGGAATAAATAAATTTGGTTATAGAAGCTTTATCTTCACTTGTCCCATTTTTCCCTTCTCTCTGATAATTTTCATGGTTTAATTCTGTCACATATAGTTCTACCAAAACCTTCAACCATTTTCGTTAATTAAAATTATTTTTTTTCAGTGTTTCAGATTAGAGGAAAAGGCTTTTTCTCCAAAACTTATTAACTTCCTACTCTCACCCCACTCTCCATGGATGTCAACTTTGATCTGCCTATAAGCTCAAATTAGATGCAAGAATGCATCTTCATGGGCTTCTGAATTTGGAAATCTGTCATTTGGGAGCATGATTTAAACTCATTGGGTAGCCTCAAGCTTTTTTTTTTTAAACTATTTTTATAGGGTGGGAAACCTCTGCCAGTGGGGTAATGGAAATTAAACCTTTCTTTCTATGCCTATACTGTCTAATCAAGCCCAGGGATGCATTCTGAAATTCAGGGATTCTCTGTATCTACTTTTCCCATGTGAAAGTTTTTGAGTCATCACCCATAACTTCATCTGCTTTAAGCTTGACAAACTGTTCTCTCTTCATGTGCTTTTCAAGCCTCTATTTTATCTTCCCTTCCTCCTCTGAAACTGTCCTTCCTAGTCTTCAAATTTTGATCAATTTTGCTCATACACCAAGCAGACTGTCCAGGTCATCACTAATCCCTATTTTCCCTTGAATCATGGAGGATTCCAGTCACATCATAGTGCATAATAGTGAGCAGAATAATTGTTTCTGGCTCAGCTTTCTCTCAAGAAATCCTAGTTGGGGTTTGAATTCAGTGGAAGGAACAAAAATCTACAGGATCCATACTGATGGTGAAACTGAGGTTCAGCATCTCTAGTGCTTTGGAGACACGTAGATCAGCAAATATTTATGGAAGATTTAATATTATAAAGCTCTTTACTAGATGCCATAGTATACACAAGGTACAAGGTCCTAGACAGAGATTCATAAACAGATACAGAAATTTATATAGAAATCTGGATAACAAACCCGATTGCCATCACAGAGAAGTGGATAGGTCAATAGGTAAATCAATATTCTACCTAATAGATACAGTACTAGATTGGCAGATAGACAAAGACTTACATAGGTACAATGACATGTCACTAGGGAACTCATTATGTTGGCATAAGGAGCTGTGTGGCCCATGTACAGATATGACCTAGGGGAAAATAGCACATCTCTGCCAGACAGAGTACAACCCTTCTTTTGTGAGACAGTGATATCCAATAAAACACCACACACACACACACACACAGAGAATCCATGCTCTGATTTCTGAGGAATCTGATGGAATGGCCCTAAGAGCCTAAGGGGACTCTTCAATCACTCTTTAAAGGGGAGGTAGGTCACTATTGTGTGTCCAGAGGACTGTCTTCCAGGTTTACTTACACTCTAGGCATAGCCTATTGTTGTCTAAAGGAATTAGCTATTGAGATGCTCAGATGATGGGGCCAGAGGAAATGAAAACATTTGGATGTTGTCAATTCACCTGGAAATTCAAGGAGACAATTTCCCATAAGAGAGTCCTAACCTTTTTTGGGAATAATCGAAGTCTGGCTGTATTTTAAACCTACTAGGGAAAGACAGCACCATGGACAGTTCAGAGGCTTCTTGGTATTAATGCTCCAGCCTCCCTATTAAAGCTTTTTTAAAATTAATTCTTCAGATTTCCCATTAGCTATTTGCCATCCTTGCTGCTGGGGAAATCCTTCAGTGGATCACTCATTTTTGATCATTTTAATGGATCCCCACACCAACATGAGCTGACCTTAGTTTTTTTTTTTCCCCTCTCACACCAATTCATCAAGCTATATAAAGAAAGGAAAGGCCTCATGACATCGATGTATCTTGAGATTATCCAAAGCATAGGAATCCCCAGGGAAACTCAGCATGTGGTGTGAAAGTAATTAAGGTGCCAAATGAAAGAATTAATTGTATGAGCACATGTGGAACTAGATGTGTCTAAGTCAAAATAAGCTCTGGAAAGAATAAGCTGCCAAACACTTCTTATTCCTTAAGAAAATATATCTGTCTGCATATTGAAGCTGCCTTAAAAGGGAGTTGCCAGTATAATTGGGAAGAGCCTTTATTGGCCACAGAGTCAGGATGCTAGACTTCCCAAGGGGAGCTCTGGAAGGAAGCAAAGAGACTGATTGGAGTTGAACAATCAGAATTGTTTTGAGAAAATTTTGCCTAGCTCCCATAGAGTTAGTTTTAGGCATCACTAGGTGAAAGCTCGTGAGGTTTTTGGGAAATGTTCCAGATTCCTTATCGTGAGAATGGCATGCTCTTTAAATGCTGATATTCCTGGAAGCAGCCTCCTTCTCTTTATTGGCACCATCCCAGTTCTGAAGTGCTGTAAACAGCTGTTTGTGCAACATGGCAGGCATTTCTGCTGGGTCCAATGTTCTTTACTTTCCACCCAGGACTATGTCATGAAGTTATTGTTCAGCCATTCAACAGTTGCACTTTTCCACATGAAAGATAATGGAATATTCATGTCAGTGGAGGGGAAGTTAGAGGCATCCTTGTCTAAAAAAACAGGAGCCATAATGAGTTGGGGATAGATGTTGGGCAAGGATTTGAGATTTATGTCTGATCCTGTCAGTAACTTTTTGAGTGACTTGGGGATGTAATGCAATTCCTTGATGAATTTCCCATATGAAAAATAAGACAGTAATCATTTTGTGGAAATTAATAGGATATCTATAAAGGACCTGGATCTTCTTGCTAAAGGTGCTAAGTAATAAAGGTGTTAATATGCATAAGAAATGTATGTTCTTTCCCTACTCCTTTCACCCAAAGCACTGAATTGTAGGCTTCTGGGGGAAAGTGTCCTGAAGTTTGGTTTGATTTTGTTTTGTTACAGATGTGACTGACAGGAAGCTATCCGTGGAGGAGGAGGAGGCCAAGAGGATAGCAGAGATGGGAAAGCCAGTGTTGGGCGAGCACCCCAAATTAGAAGTAATCATTGAAGAGTCCTATGAATTCAAGGTCAGGACATCAGTGAGACTGAATTGAAAGAGTGCTGGGATGGGAGGCAAGAGATTTGGGGTTTAGGTCCAGTTCCACCATCAAGTGGCTGTGTAACAGGGGGAAATAATTTAAATTGTGCTATGTCTCAATTCTCTACTCTGGGAAATGGATATAACACTGCCACAAGGGAGAAGTTATGAGGACAAATTAAAGAAATTAGGAGGGATTATAAAAATGCTACTTATTTAACATTTGTATCCACTGGCAGGTCTCCTAACCTCTCAAGGCCTCAGTTTCTTTTTCTTCATACTGAAGAAGGTGATCATTGTGGTCCCTTTCATAGCTAAATCCTGTGATGCTAAAATCCTATGACCAGATGATCTCTAAAGTGCCTTTAAGTTCTAAATCATATTTCATCATAATTATTATTATAATTTCATTTTTAAAGCTCAGGTGGTATAAACTCATTGCAGTAGCACAGGTCCTATTAGAGATGGTTATTGTGACTATTATTTCTGGGGAAATGTGAAGAAAGAAAAAAAAAGGAGAGAAGGGTCCTTTGATACTTTTCAGTCCTCTTCAGTCCTCAGCCTACACAAATCCATTTGTAATTTCCCCAGCCTCCAGCAATGAGGCATTCTCTCATCTTGCTCCCCTTTCCCCCATCCCTATTCCAAATAACACAGAATTCCTCAGTGGACCCTGAGAATTCTGACCTCATGGCTTCAGGTTTCTGTTTCTTTGACAGACTACAGTAGACAAATTAATCAAGAAGACAAACCTGGCCCTGGTTGTGGGGACACATTCCTGGCGTGATCAATTCATGGAGGCCATCACTGTCAGTGCAGGTGAGAAGAGTTAGAGTTATGGATGCTAAGGAGGTTGGGCAATACTGGTGAGAAGGGGTAGCCAGTGGGGGAAAGAAGAAACATTGGTCCATGTCTTAGGAGAAGATGGAGATTCCTATTTCTGAGGATACCCATATGCCTGGATTCATTATCCTATTCCCAAATGTGCAGGTGAATGGTAACACACCTCTGTATATTGGTTTCCCCTTTCTGTAAAAAGAGAGGCAACACATTCTTTGCCTGTTTACTTCTGAACTTTGAGAACTAATAAAATTGTGAAGGTGCCTTTTAAAAGAATTTCACTTATATCTTTTGTTTTCATATCACCTTCATTTCTAAATATATCCCTTCCCCCTCTCCTACCCAGCAAACCATCCTTTGTAATAAAAAATAAAAGAGAAGCAAAGCAATTCAGCAAAACAAACTAACATATCAACCAATTTTGGCAGCATATACAGTGATAGAATTCTCTACCTGTGTATTTTTTCAACTCCTCTCTGAGGTCAAGCTTCATTATAAGGTGCTTTTAGCTCCTTAAGAAGACATTCTTCTGTCAAAATTGGAAGCTGGATGTTTCACTTTTTTTTCTGTTGCCCTGAGATCAAAGGACTACCTTTAGTGATGTCCCATGGCATTTCTGTAGACCATAACTCATAAATACTGCCGTGAGGTAGAAAACCACAGTGCTAGTGTGCTCTCCCTCTCTCTCCTCTCTCTCTCTCTCTCTCTCTCTCTCTCTCTCTCTCTCTCTCTCTCTCGCTCGCTCTCGCTCTCCCTCTCTCCCTCTCTCTCCCCCATCCCTCCCTCCCTCTCTCCCTCTCCCTTACCATATCAGCAAAGCACAAGTATGTTTGCCTCTCAGCAAATGGTAAACAGAGAGTTGCCATGGCTGCTTTCAGAATTCTTCATTGCCATAGCAACCCACAAGGTCATATCCCACAGGTCCCAGTGTCAGAGTAAAGTTATAGCCCCGGAAAGAAGATTTGCTCCTGACCCACTTTCCAACATCAATGGCTAAGGATCCATCCTCTCCTTCTGTTACCCTCTGATCACTACTTTGGTCCCTTGACAAAAAGAGGCCAGAGGGGAAGGAAAATAGAGGAGTAATGCATTTTCTGGTGTTTAAGGGAACGCTCAAAAAAAATTCAGCATTGAATTACAGAGTATTAGAGCTGGGGGGAACCTTGAAGGTCTATTCCAATCCCTTCATCTTACAAATAAGGAAACTGAGGTCCAGAAAGATGATATGATTTTCTAAAACTCACACAGAGTACAGAAAAAACCAAACAAAACTAGAATCCATGCTTTCTTACACTGAGCTTGGTGATTTTCTTGCCATGAAACACTGCCTATTATGAAGCCCAGACCACTCCAAGCACGCTATGCCATCACAGGGTGAATGTGCCAACTGCATGTAGATAGAGTCTATCTTTTCCTAGTAGACAATCTTGGATTATTCAAAGCAAGATCCATCTGCCTTATCTTTAGCTTTTGGGGACATCTTGAAAGAGAGGGTAAGTGTAGTCAGTAGAAGAACTGGGATGTCAACCCAGGTCATCTGACTCCACATCCAGGATGCCTCCATTAGAAAAATGAGGCAATTGGACTAGATGACACATCCTTCCCAGTTCTGAATCTATGATCCTATGAACTCTTCCTCCTCCTTTTTAAACAACGTTGGTTATTCCCTCCTCTGAAGCTTGATGCCTCTGTTTGCCCTGACAGTGAGAAGTGCTGTTGGCTTTCTTTTTTGCCCATCTATCCTGGTCCATGAAAGATCAGCTGCTTTTTTTCTTTCTCCTCCCAGGAGGACCCACGTGGATGGGATGAAAGTTGCCAAAGCTTTCCTCATCATCTCTGTATTTTATTGATACTACTATATCATCCTCAAAAAGGAGAAAAAAAGTTGGGGGGGAAGCACTGATATGATACCATTTCTAAGTATCTAAAACTGTCCTTTCTGGGTATCTGTTAATATCTCATAAGCATAATTCCTGGGTTTTATGATCAGTTGGGTATCATGTGTTTCACTACAGTAGAGAAGCAAATGTAGTTCCCTCCTACACCAATTTGTCTCAGCCTGTGACCTAAATTCTGTTTGAAATTGGCCAAGAGAAAGCAATATCAGTCTGTTGTGGTATAGGGTATTTAAAGGGGCATGTCCTTGGGTCTGCAGGACTCTTTCTTCCTGCTCCCTTTGGGAAAAGGTCTAAATACCAATATGTGCTCACACATGCTCCCACGCACACGTGTGTACACACACATGCACACATAGAGGAATATAAATTCTCTGCTAGTTAGTTGGATTCAGAAGGAATAAGGAGTGAAAATAGGATCTTCTGTATACTTTACCTGCCCCCATTTTTCTCGATCCCAGCAGGAGATGAGGATGAGGATGAATCAGGGGAGGAGAGGCTGCCTTCCTGCTTCGACTATGTCATGCACTTCCTCACCGTCTTCTGGAAGGTGCTCTTTGCCTGTGTGCCCCCGACAGAGTACTGCCACGGCTGGGCCTGCTTTGTGGTTTCAATCCTCATCATTGGTATGCTCACCGCCATCATCGGTGACCTGGCTTCCCACTTTGGCTGCACCATTGGCCTCAAGGACTCCGTCACAGCTGTTGTTTTTGTGGCCTTTGGCACTTCCGTCCCAGGTGAGAATACGGGAAAGGGATTTGGAGAAGATGGGGTCGGTGGGGAGAAAATGCTACATGACTCATATACGACGCTATCCTTATCCCTGTTCTTCAGCAAAAACAGCCATTTTGGGGCTCAGGCCATTGGTTCTTGACAGCTTCTCTTAGGCCAACCATCTTGCACAATGCTTTATGGTGAGGAAATAGGAACTTTATGCATACCATGCCCCATTGCCTTAGAATCCTGCCTAAAATGGCCCAAACTCAGGATACCCTTAAATATGAAGAGGTTGGTCCCTTGAAGGCCGGAAAACCTCTTGGTTGACCTTCATCAAGTCATTTAACTCGTTCTAAGCCTCAGTGTGCTCATCTGTAAAATGGGGCCAACACTACTTATATCACAGTGATTCGTGAGGCTCCAACAACATAATGCACACAAAGTACTTTCTGAACACAAAATGTTGCTGTTGTCAGCCCCATCCTTTTGCTGATTTTGCATACTGAGCACTACAAAAATTAATTACCAGGTATAGGGAGGAAGGTTTATTAAGCACCTGCGATATGCCAGGTACCATGCCAAGCACTTTAGATGTGTTATCTCATTTGATCCTCACAGCAGCTCTGAGAGGTGGATACTGTCATCACCCTAATTTAATTACTGAGGGACAAGGAACATGGGACACTTGCCCAGGGTCACACAGCTTCTGAGGCCTGTTTTGAACTTGGGTCTTCTTGACTCCAGGCCTAGAGCTCTATCCTCTTGGCCACCTAGCTGCCTGTAAAACATAACACCTGTTCTCAAACAGCATGTGCAGTCAAGGGTTTTAGACGCCTTTGTGTCTCTCAGTGATCCCAAATAACTCACCCTGGTCTAGTTTGGACCGTCCCATGGAGCCGACAGCACTGTAAGACTAAGCCTCTAATCATCTACCTTTGTTAGCTCCCTGACAGCTAGAGTCCAAGCATCGCCACAGAGCAGACTCTGGAACACGACAGGGTTTCAGAGCTGGAAGACCCAAGAGATCATCTTGTCCTATCACTGGACAGACTCCACAGGCCTAGAATACCCCATGCTGGATAAATGTCCAAAGTGCAGATCATCGATCGGGTCAATCACAGAGTCATAGATGCCCCCTCATTTTACAGATTAACAAACTGAGGCCCTGGGAATTGAGCTGGCTTGTCCAACAAAGGTCATGCAGCTGATTTGGATCAAAATCAGGATTAGGGGCTCAAGTAGACCAGCAAGTGTTGAAATACAAAAATGAATTTTTAAAATGGCCCCAGACTTTAAGGGCTGACATAGGATCACAGATTTGGAGAAGTAAATTACCTTAAATTACCTTAGAGGTCATATAATCCAACCCTCTCATTTTCCAGATGAGGAAATTGAGACCTAGAGATGTTAAGTGACTTGTCCAAATTCACGTAGCTAATGACCATGAGAGCCAGGACTTGAAATCGAGTCTCCTAATTCCCAACACATTGTTATTTTCACTATATTGCACCACACCATTTTTTGAAGTTCAGCTCTTAGGGGTAGGCCATTCCCAGGTATAACACTCAGTTTTTTCCACCCTACTTATTCCACCCCATCTTTTCCCTATTCCAGACACCTTTGCCAGCAAAGCAGCCGCCATCCAGGATGTATATGCTGATGCCTCCATAGGCAATGTCACAGGTAGCAACGCGGTTAATGTCTTCCTGGGCATTGGCCTAGCCTGGTCAGTGGCTGCCATCTACTGGGCCCTGAAAGGACAGGAATTCCATGTCTCAGCGGGCACCCTGGCCTTCTCTGTCACCCTCTTCACCATCTTTGCTTTTGTCTGCATCAGCGTCCTCCTATACAGGAGACGACCCCACCTTGGTGGGGAGTTGGGTGGCCCTCGGGGCTGCAGGCTGGCCACAACTTTGCTCTTCGTGACCCTGTGGCTCCTGTACATTCTCTTTGCCACACTGGAAGCCTATTGTTATATCAAAGGGTTCTGAGCAGCTGAGGGCCCATGGATCCAAGGAAGCTCTCAGCCTCACCACTCCCCTCCAGTGACCACCAGGATGTTTGGCTGAGGAGAGAAAGCACCAGACAGACATCTGTGTCACTGGGGCACCATCTTCTGCTCGAATCTCCCCCAGCCTAGGCCCTGGTACTAATGGACAACATGAAGGGGAAAGTTGTAACCAGTCAAACAGAAAGACAAAAGAAGCCACAAATTATCAAGTATTTAAATACAAGCCAACAATAGCAACAAAATCAACTTCCACCTCCTTCCTGCCCACAGTCCCAGCCTTCACAGCAGAGGATCACGCCCATCTTCTTACTGCTTTTCAGCTCCATCGTATTTGGTTGTTTCATGTTCTCACAATTGGGATTTCTCTTGTGGGTCTCAACTGGATATTATACACACACACACACACACAACACACACACACACCACACACACACACACACACAATGTTTTCACATCTGGCTGACAGCTTTGGAGGCAAATCAGATCACAATCATTTGACTTGGCCTCTTTTTTCTAATCTATGTTATTATTATTGTTATTGTTATTATTATTATTATTATTTGGTGTCAGGTTTACCTCATTGTTTATTCTTTTCCTCCTGACATCCGTGACAAAGGTGAAATGGAGCAACACTGGGCTGTTGTATAGAGAAAGAAAAAGTGTGAATTTGTCAGCCACAAACAATTTCACTCTCCCTAAGAGACATCCATCATGATTCTGTCCCTGTTTCCTTTTCTCCCCCCAGAGTCTTTTATAGGACTGATATACTCAAGATGAAAAGACACATGAGCGTGTTTGCGCACAAACACACACAAACATATATAGCCACACTCATACATTTGTTGGGGGGAAAATTGAACATTAGAGCTTCGAAGGAAAAAAAACCCTGAAAACAAAACAAAAATCTTTGTTTCCTGCCCCTGTTGCTGCATTTTGAATACAACATGTCTTTTATATGTCTATCAGTTCCTTCACGACCATGGTATTTTATGAAGAACTATCTGGATATATGGATTTACTCTGGGGAAGTGATAGGAAAGTAAGGCACAAGATGGAAAGGACCTGGCAGAGAAAGGTGTGATGTGTGACTTCTTGATCTTCTCTGATTTGTTTTGTGAGGTAGGATGAGAGGCATGTGCCTATATCAAGATTTTTTTTAAGGCAAAACAAAAACGTGTCAGTTATTTGGTGTTCTCACCATTTGGTGCTTTTGAGAAATGTCAACTTCTCCATGGTCCTACCACCTAG